TCTGGCTTGATGGATAGAGAGATTGCTCCCTACTGTCTTTTTCCTTGTTTTGCTCAGTTCCATGCCCTCTTTTGAAATATTTAAAGCATCTCTCTGGTCTTACCATACGTTAGCAGAGTATATATTCCTATCTGAGGCTGCCACAGCCAGACCAGAAGGGAATACTGGAAGGACGTATTGATTTACGATCCACAAAGGGAATGTACAACTTAGACTCATCCTGATATTTTTGTAAGACACCTGAGCTCCACTGAGCTAAAGTTTGTGAGTTTAAAGACTGCTTTCTGTTTTTTCACAATATCACTGACACTCTCTCTGGTCATTTCTTAACTGCTTCCCTGAATTCTGTTGTTCACGTACTACGGCAGGATCCTTCGAGCCAACGACTAAGTTCTGCAATGGTAACTAAGTCACGTATGACCCATTTTGCTGACACGCCTGTTTCCTGGAATTACTTCTAGGGGTAGGCCAAATTGACTGGGAATGTGCAGCATGCTGATTGCAGTCAATGCACTCTTGTTAAGACTTCACTCCCAATCCATGCTTACTTGTTAGACCCCCTTCTGATGTGGCTCTGCAATCATTACTTGAGCCAGCCTTCAATGCTGATTACACACTTCCTGTTGTTTCTGTTGCATTATTTATTAATGATGGTTTCCCTGCAAATTGCGTGCTAGCAGTACTTTGGGGAATGCTACCAAAATTAATTTCTGCTCAACTCATTTTGTAGAGGTCCCTGGTCCTTACCACTTGCCCAGTACAGAACCATCTGCACCTCCTATGGAATTGGTGGACAATGTCACCGGAGCTGAAAGGGACGGTTCAAGAGACTGCGGTATGTACTATCTTTTGAGCATGCATTCAGGCTATTTATTCCCCTGAGGCAATATCTCTCTCTCTCTCTCTCTCAAACAATAACCTCTTGTTAGCACTGTAATAGCACTCAGGACTCCAATTTTTTAAGGTGCTGTGTAGACACATAGTAAAATGGCAGTTCCAGCTTCTAATCTAATTTATGGTACAATGCAACAGGTGAATGAGAATAACAAAAAGGTGTAGGATAATGTGGGGAGGATGATGATCAGCATGCAAGTTACCTTATAATAAGCAGAGATGCTAATTCACCATGTGCATCCTTCTAAACCAGCAGCAATGCATGTTACTGGGTATGACCAACTAGTCTTGCCTTAATCAATTATTTTTGATGTTGTTTCTTTGCAGAAAAGAATAGTTTGCCTGCCCAGGTTGATCTGCTGTCTCAAGGAGAGCACAATGATTCCACTTCACAACAGAACGAGTGGAGGTAAGATACCCTTTATACCTCTACTCCAGTCCTTTTGTACTCGTGTTAACATCATTAGCTATTAAGGACAGTCAACTCACAGTGTAAGTCCTACATCGGATTTCCACTTTAATTTCTTTATTTAGCTAGATAAATAAATGCTGAGAGCTATCAGTCTTGTTGCTTGGAAGCTGACTGATGCTGTCTTGACTTTGGGCCTGATGCTGATCCTTTTGAAGTGTTATGGGAACTTTCATATTTAGCATTAGTTAATAATAGCTGGTTTGCTTGTTGTCTCTTCCCACTGCCTGGAGGGTTTCTCTTTAAATTGAAAAAGCGAAGGCAAACATTTTAAAATAAATGGCTTCATTTTCAGTTTACAACAGAAAATAGAATAAACAATGAGAAGAGGATGAGACTGAGCCAAGCTGTTAGTCCATACCCAGCATCTGGCTTCACAGCAACAGTCTGAAGGGATCACTATCTGCTGCTGTATTCAAGAGCTGATTCTGAACACTGACATTGGGGAATTTAGATCTGAGCCTGGACACATCTGATTTCGCACTCCAGTATTTAGGAACTTTAAGACTGAGAGATCTGATTTGTGGGTTTGAACTGCAGCCAAGATGTAGATTAAATATTGGGGGAGGGAAGGTTTCTTAACTGAAATGTCATGGTACAGTAGAACAAGCTCCCTTGGCAAGTTGTAAAAGCTCCTTTGGAGTTTTTCAAGAAGAAGTGGGATAAATATCTCTCTAGGACGATTTCGGAATAGTATCCTGCATGTCTGGGGAGGAGGGGGGGGGGGACCAGACTAGATGATCCTTGAAGTCCCTCCTGATCCTATAATGCCAGGAAGGTTAGGGACAGACATTAAAAAAGCCTTGAGCCTGAATTGATTCAATCTTTTCCGGTTTGTCTAACCTGGCTGGGCTGAACCAGTTTGTAACTGCACAAAAATGGTCAAATTAGCTAGGGAAGGACATTACACATAAAACGGTTTAAGTGATCAGAAACTGATTTAAACCTGTAACAGAACAGATGTGTACATAAATCAGTTTGTGCATGGCTAAAACTGGTTTGAGATAAAACTGGTTGAATGTAGACTTAACTGATTTGGCTCAAACCAGCTTATGCAATGTCTGTCCTAGACCCCTTGCTGGTTTAAATTAAATCAGACTCCCCCAGCATCCCAGCATGCTCCCTGGGCTGAGCAGGGCTCTCTGCTCCACAGCAGGGCTGGCCCCTCCTCTCTGCTCCCTGGCTGCAGCTTTGGTAGAGACTTGTAGGCAGCAGCGCCTACCTGCTCCCCCCATCCCCTCCCCACTCTCTGCTAAGGAGGCATTCCCTGTCCCTCACAGATACCTCTCAGTATTAGCTGGAAGACCACACGCTGGCTACCTCCAAACCGTGGCAGACAAGACAAAGACAGAATCAACAGATAGCTGGTAATGCTCCTCTGTTTTCTTAATGGGGTGATAAACACTGAGTTAGGGGTGATAAACGTTCCCTGCTGCACTGTTCAAGAGGTGGGGAACCTGTCCCTAATCGGAGCATCCTGCCAGGGCCTGGCCATCCACCCCACAGCTCAGCTCTGTGGAAGGAAGGAAGGACTGCTCCTCCCTCAGGGTAGAAGCACCCCCTGGCTTCTAGCCTGAGCCACTGCAGGCATGTGCCTGCATTTCTGGTATGTTTGTCTGGTTAAAAAACTTATTTAGCCTAGCCAGACTAGACTAACCTGCAAAGATTGAATCAATTCAGGCTCAGGCTTTTTGAATGTCAGTCCCGAGCCACGAACATTCCCTCTGGACTTTAAAAAATGCAGGCACATGCCTGCAGTGGTTCAGACTAGAAGCCAGGGGATGCTAGAGCAGCCCACCCTTCCCTTTCACAGTGCTGAGCTGAGGGGGGAGGGAGGTGTGGCCAGGCCCTGGCAGGATGCTCTGATTAGAGAGGGGTTCCCCACACTGCTCCTGTGATGGAGCTTGCAGGGAGTTGCATAGCATTTCACAGCAGGGAGTTGACACGTTGCTTATCAGCCCATCAAGAAAACAACAGCCTTTCTCATTAGTTCAAGCTTCTCTTTTAACTCCAAAAAGCCCTAATCAGACATTGTCCTGTCTTCCTTTGTCTGGTTTGTCTTACACAGACACCTCTCAGCATTAGCTAGTAGACCACATGCCGGCTACAGTGTGTATGGGAGAGGGGAGGGGGGAATTCTTGTTTGAGCAGGGAGTAGTGGTGGGAGTATGGGGGGTGCAGGAGGAAGCCAAGCAGATGCTGCTGTGCCTGCCGTCTCTGCCGGACCTCCAGCAAGGGAGCAGAAGGGAGGGGCCAGCCCAGCTTTCTGGAGCAGAGTGCCCCGCCCAGGGCTGCAAAGCATCTGGGATGCTGGGGGACTCTGGTTTAAGTTAAACTAGGAAGTGGTCTGGGAGAGACATTGCATAAACCAGTTTGACCCAAACCAGTTAAGCCTGATACTACATTCAACCAGGTTTATCTCAAACTGGTTTCAGCTATTTTCAAACTGGTTTATGTGCACTGAACGTCTTTCCTGTTACAGGTTTAAATCAGTTTCTGATCTCTTAAATCAGTTTATGTGTAATGTCTGTCCCTAGCTAATTTGACCATTTTTTGATGTTGTTTGGTTTCCCATTGAAAAAGTATTGTACAATTCAGTCTGGACTTTTGCAAACAATTGTAGTGTAGGATGATTGCCTATGACTTT